AAAATTCGGATTTTCAATACAAACGTGAAGTCAATTTTGCTTTACGGATCAGAAACTTGGCGGGTCACCAAGAATATTTTCAACAGGTTGCAGACCTTTATCAACAACTGTCTTCGCTCCATACTGAAGATTAGATGGCCAGAAAGAATCACAAACAAGAAGCTATGGGAACAAACGAAACAGGAAACGATCGCCCAACAAATATGCAGGAGGAAGTGGAGATGGATTGGACACTCGCTGAGGAGGCCGTTGAGTGACATCGCGCGTCAAGCCCTCGAGTGGAACCCGAAAGGGAAGTGGTGAGTGGGTCGTCCAAGGGTGACATGGAGGAGATCGTGTGAGGAGGAGATGAAACAGTATGGAATAACATGGACGCAAGTGAAAAGTACAGCACAAGACAGAAGCAAGTGGAGACGTGCAGTTGAAGCCCTATGTTCCACTAGGAACCCAAGGGAACAATAATAATAATAATAGTAGAGGGGATAAAATTCCCATTTGAATCTGAAGATGAACAAGGAGAATTAGCTATGGTGTTAGATTGTAAAATAAAACGAATAGAAAAGAGGTAAACTTCACACTAGTGTTTATAGAAAACCAACGCATTCTGCTAATAGATATTTAGACTTTAATTCATCTCATCCATTGTCTGTCTGTAAAGGCAGGCTTAGTTAAGTGTCTAACAAACCGAGCAATGGCACTAAGTAGCACAACAAAAGACCTAAATGACGAAATAAAACAGATAGAAGAAGCGTTGGTGTTGAATAACTATCCTATAAAATTCATTAGGAAGATCAGTAAAGGCCAAAAACAAAATGAAAATAATTGTGAAACTAGTAATAATAACATAAATAAGAGAGAATATAAGTCATCCACTGTTATACCATATAAGGAGGGGACATCTGAGACCCTCCACCTATAGGATTCTTAATAAAGCAGAAAATAGGGTGGCATCAAAACCCGCAAACTCACTTAGGAAGGACAAGCTCTGTAGCTTGACCCAATTAGACAAAATAATACAACTTACAAAATACCTTGCAATGACTGTGAAGTCAATTACATAGGTCAAACTAGTAGGTTGGGGATAGTGATATAATCAGAACATAAGAATTTAGCCAAGGGAAGAATGGTTGACCCTGAAAAGATAAGTAATTTAGAAAAAAGCTCAGGAATTGCACTTCACGCATTAACAAACAACCACACAGTAGGGTGGGAGAGGGTTAAAATTCTAAAAAGCAACATAGGTAGGTGGAAAGAGTGGTTGATTACGGAATCCTGTCTGGTTCATTGAGTCTACACCCAACACATGCAACAGAAATGACTCAATGCATGTACCAGAGATATGCATGGAAGATATTATTACCGCCAGTCAGTCAAATCAGAAGAGGATAATAAATAATCTCGAAATTCTATTTCAATTCACATACATCACAACCTTCTAACAAGTTAGTTATTTTGACTATAAAAACACTCGTCTTATTTCCCATCTGATTGTGTTTGATTGATAACACTCATATTGTTATTTCTGAATGTGCATTATCACATATTGATTTTATTTAAATATCTAGTCAATTTCACATATGTATATAAATGAAGGAAAAGAGTTGTGTGAGTGACTTGATATGATTATCAGCTGCAGTAATAAATTGTGCTCGAAACGTGATCATCAGTTAATATTACTGTACCACACTGTGTGATTTATCAAAATAAAATCTTATCCATAATGGAGTTGTGCTCTACCACAGTGCCCAAGTTTTATACTCTATCCTGAACCCCTATGTTCCACTGGGGCGTTAAGGAATAAGAAAAGGTAGTTATATGTCCTTAATAATCAAACAATTATTATCGAGTGTCGGTTAACAGGGATCTAGATTACTTAAGGGTTTCATCACGAGTTCATATCAGTCAGAGAACCATTGGGAAACCACAGAGTACTGGAAAGCTGTTTCGTTCTGGCTTGAGACTCTTCATTAGTACACTTCCAAGGGGGTTCGAACTGAGGATCTTCGTCGGTTACAAAGCGACCTCGTGGACCATTCAGCCGCTTGGGCAGAAAGTCAGTGATTCATGAATTCTCACTTCGTCAATTCTTAATGTAGCGCCACTGTCAACCAACGCCTGCGGTGAGATGTATCTTTTATTTATTTTTTTATTTTGGTTACAGCTTGATGCCGTACCGTATTTTCAGTACAAGTATGGCATTTTCAGCATGGATATCGGTAACCCAAATTTTGCAGGCCGACCATAGATATCGGGTGTGCGCCGGCAGGGGCTCGAACCTCGGACCATGTGCATGGTCGGCGAGAGTCCTAACCACTGTGCCACTGTGTCATAAATTGACAAAGTTATAATTCACGGTTGACTGAATTCCGGCCCAAATGTCTGAATGGTCAATCAAACAAACTTGAAAGTCGTAGGTCCAACCCTTGATGAGGTCATGGTTGTGCACTACTACGGAGTCGCAAACTAGGTTGACGAAACAGCTGTACAGTACCCCGTTATTTTTCAGTGGACCCTCTAACTGATGTAGGTTTATGACGGAATATACACTAAAATGAATTCAGATACACACCTACAAAATCTCATAATCTAAATAATTCATTAATTATCATGGTTACATACAACTGTGGTATCTAATGAACAAATTGTCGAAGAGAATATTCTTTATTCATTTATTCCCTTTTATGAATTTGAATAGAGCAAGAACAAAAACAACAGTGGTGGATTGTGCAGAATAAGAAGATGGTACCATCCTTTGTTTATTTCGTTGGCTTCTCATCACTTGCTTAAAGCCTGAATAAATTATTATTAATTTCAATATAGCCAAAAATATTCATTCAGACATCTATAAAACACAAAAAATTGAGCAAAGAATATCCCTTTCGATAATTTCCTCTCCTGGCTACACAATTATATATACATATGTTTGTATACATAGAATATTCTAGAATAGTAGTCAATAACAATATTAGTGTTTTTTAAATAATATCGATTTGTTAAGTAAGGTCACAATGGAATTACAGTTCATTAAAGATGCTTAAATTATAATAACAATAAAAATAGAATATCAATTAAAATTAAGGAAATTTCTACAAAAAATGAGGATCATTCGAACCTAGATGGCCAGGGTGGTAAGGACAGTGTCTGAACTAGCTTCTTTCGGACGCATAAATTAGGCCTCTTAATGTGGATTCCAACAGCCAGCCTCAGCAATATGTAATTAAGTTTAGTTGGCATGTGGTAAATGGCTTTGAAAGCCGCCTTGTTGTTTGCATCAATCCTGTGTTCTGTTACCACAAGATGAGATGGAATATAGCTAGCTATGCATGAATTTTGTTTGTCCCTTACTTAACCACCATGCAGAGTGATGTTCAGAAATCTGACGACGAACACGCCCAATTGTACCCTGTGTCTTCAAAACCACCACCCGCCACCCACCTATTTATCTTTCGGGAGTAAAAGATAAACTGCCTAATTTCGCCTCTTCTATATTTATCTACCAATTTAACTGCTCCTATGGAGTGAGCCAGTTAGTTGCATAGGCCGTACAATTAGGCGTGTTTCTCGTCGGATTTCTGAACATCATCCTGCATAGTGGTTAAGTAAAGGACAAACAAAATCTATTCGTAGCGCTATTCTATCTCATCTTGTGGATACAGAACACAAGATTGATGCAAATAACAAGGCGGCTTTCAAAGTCATTTACCGCATACCAACAAATCTCAACTTCACCTTAAGAGTTCGTTTACTAAATATTGCTGAGTCTGGCTGTTGAGATCCACATTAAGAAGCTAGTTCAGACATTATCCTCACCTTGGCAATCTAGGTTTTTATGATCCTCAATTTTTGTGGAAATTTGCCTAATTTTATTTGCTATTATATTTTTATGCTTATTATTATAATTTAAGCATCTTTAGTGAATTGTAATTCCATTCTGGTCTTACTGTACAAATGGATATTATTTAAAAAGCATTAATATTGTTACTGACCACTATTCTAGAATATTCAATGTATATAAACATGCATATATAATTGTAGAGCGAGAAGAGGAAGTTATCGAAAGGGATATTCTTTACTCAATTATTTTGGTGTATTATCAATGTCATGTACAGAAAAGTTTTAACCTACTTGCGAATTTTTTCATGATGTCAGTTAACAGAAAGTTTCGCAATTAGTGAACAGTGCTGAGAAAATTACGTTTAAATAGTTTTTACACAGGGAGTTCATGTTTAAACAAAGCAAACGTATGCATACAGTGATAAAGGAGTTACGTAATAAACATGAGAGATGCATAAGATGAGGAGTGATTAATTAACTGGCTAACAATGTACTGAGTTCAACTCAAATCATAGAAACAAGAGACAAACAAAATTGTACTAAATCAAGGGGGGGGGTCAGCTTAAAGCCGAAGATTACGTAATCAAATGAAAGAGAGAATGAAAACATCCAGTTTCCAGGTAGGGCAAGGGAAGACTGATGCTAACTGCTTCTTTCTGAACACATAAATCGGGTTTCAGGCGTTTAGTTGAGATTGCTTCGGCAAACTTGAGGAGAATTGAGCTATCTTGTCTATTGATAATTTTAAAGGATTTTATGATTTCCACCTCATGACCCACATCAAGTAATATTCTTTGTGCACTAATCAGTCTTTCGTAATTTTTCAGTTTTTTCACTATGCCACTTTCAGATGATTTCTATTTAACCATGTAACGAATTTTGCATCAATCAATATACTCAATTTCACTTTAGTTTCTACCTGATTAGATTTTCTATGCTACCAAAATTGGAACCTTTTGATTACTTTCTAAGACTCAAAACTTTAATAATACATCTTTAGAAACATTTCCCTATCGTACATTTTGAGCATGTTAGAACTTGAAAAAGAGAAAGAAGCCCTTCGTTGTGTGCCTCTTCTTTCATTTTAACCAAAGATTAATCACACTACTTACATATTTGTAAGTAGTTTGCAAATAAACATCAAAAATAGGAAATTTTATTTTTACCTTAGAATATATTTGACTTCGTTGAAGTTCTTCATTTTGTTTCTGTAAGTCGTCTCGTTGTTTCTCTAGCTTTTTGATCTCTTCTAGCTTGTTTAAAATACTCTTGTACAATTCTTCATTTTCTTTCGATATATTACTGACATAATCAGTGATCAGTTTGTCTGAAACCTTAGGAAGTAGAGAAAGTATTTGAATTTTGTGCAATTACTAAGGGTGAATAAACAAATTATATTACCGAAAATTTAAACCCTTATCAATACATATGTAAAGATGGTTACCGGGAGACGCAATTATATCACTCATGAAGAAATTTAAATCATTCCACTTTATGCTAAATATTACGCTGAAGATATTGTCCAGAAGGACGACGAAAGCTCCGCAACCAAACCAACCGACTCACAGAACACTATTAATTGCATATCATCATTATTTTGACCTTCAGTTCTGAGGAAGACACAGAACTTCACTCCACTCTTTGCAGTCTTTTTTAGTTGGTTCCAGGATTATCCATAAACTATCATTTCCTCTATCTCACACGATCTCCTCCAATTCACTATTGCATGTCCAGCTCATCGTTTCCAGCTTGGATTCCATTCAAGACGCTTGCAATGTGATGTCAGTTTGCAGTTTCTTGGGTGTATGCCCGATTCCATCACATTTCTTTCTGCGTATTTGTTTGGTTCGTTGTTAGAGCTCATTGTTGCCAATTCTTCCTGACTGACCATCTGATCTTAAGTGTAAACCCAAAAAAACAGCTGTTCATGAAAGTCTACAACAGATTTTTGGAGTTTTAAAGATTTCAAGTTCGACTTGTGAATCGGCAGGAGTTAGAATTCATGGACTGGCCATTGGATCGTGGCTTAATGGTCTACGAGCTCGCCTTGTAACCAGAAGGTCCTGGGTTCAAACTGTGGTGGTGGGTGTGTACCGATGAAGAGTCTCAAACTAGGACGAAACAGCTATCCAGTACTCCAAGGTTTTCCACTGGTTATCTAACCAATGTCAGCTCATGATGAAATCCTGTAACCATTCGACTTGCTTGTTTTACTTCTGAAATAAAGCAACTCTCCAATGTTTCTGTGAGTAATTTCAGTTACTGATAAAATCAATTTAGTCTTCTCCAATGAATGTATCATGTACTGAATGATTGGAAATTTCGTCTCTTATTAACACCTTTGTAAAGCTGTGAAGACACAATCTCCGTGACACATTCGAGTCTGTTGATTCAATTAAGAATGACAACTTGGTGGATAAGAAAGTGGTTTCCCCGGATATCGTCTTTCTCTTTCTTCACCAACGTTCCACTGATAGAAACCATATGTTCCCTTTATGACTTCATTCAATCCGATGGCATCGATATCGGTATGCCAATCTATACGATGCACCTGAAACGTTTACTCTATTTTCAACAAAGAAATATACAGACAAGTAGGTGGAGTAGCAATGGGTTCTCCTATAGGACCCCTCTTGACTGACTGCTTTAAGGCTAGCCTAGAAAAAAACTCCTTATCATCAACTATCGACGAGTTCCATCCCTACATGAAGTTCACTGATGATAATTTCATTATTAGTGACGAGAACTGTGACCTAAAACACCTACTCCAAACCTTCAGTAACGCCCACCCAAACATCGAAATCACTCTGGAAGTTGAATGTTACTCAACGTTTGGTGTCCTCGATGTTCAGATACGAAGGAACGCTGACAACTCACTGAGAACATCCATCTACAAAAAGCCCACATACAACGGACAGTTTATCAACTTCCAAAGTTATCACCTTGATATGATTATGAGCAATAAATTGTGCTCGAAACGTCATCAGTAAGCATTACTGTATAACACTGTTAGACTTTATCAAAACAAATTTTATCCACAAAGTTATCTGCCTCTAGTCAGAAAGAGAAACCTAATATACTCTCCTTCCTCGAGGATCCGGAAACTATGCACTGAGGAGTTAACTGACGAAGAATTGCGAAATCTCCCAGGGACCCCGGTAGAAAATCATCTACCACCTAGATACATGATCAAGTATCTATTACTAACGAAAACGCCTGATAAGGTCAAAGTTGCCCCCAGAAAAATGCTGATACTCAACCTCGAATTTATAAGTAATTCCGAAGCAGAACTTCTCCGTAGATGGCCATCGAAGTGTTTCAGTAAAACATACTTCGCCGTCAGCCTATGAGTAACATTTCCCTGCAAGAAAGTATTCCACCAGCATGTGAGGGACTAGCTGTCGCACTGGATCACTTCAGCATGCACATGCCAGTTCACTTACTCCTTCCCGTGGAGCCGAGTACATTGGTCGTACGCTTGTAAAACGCGCTCGGGAACAATATCCATCATTTTGGTGTAGTTTTGTTCTAATATTCAGCATGGTTAGAAAAGTGAGAATACAAGGGTGGTGTATGCATTTCGGTGACAAAACATCTGGTGAATTCAGGACACTCAGCTCCATCCGATGAAAAGTCCTTCAAAGTCACATACAAGATCTGATCAAACCTCTATCGCAAGGGGACTGAAATCAAAGGATCTAGGAATCGCTGAGGCATTGGCGATCCAAAGGCTCAAGCCCACACTATGCATTCAAAAGAAATATGTACAACCGTTGTCCCTACCATGGTCATCATGAAAAGTAAGTCCCATCAATAAATACACGAATGTACAGCCTCCTAGTTGATGACTTCGTCGAAAAGAGAATTTTCTTCTCTGCAACCGTCTTCTTAATAGTACCTCTGAAAACGAAACAGATCTTCTGAGACAAACCATGTGCACTACGACAATTTCGATAGAGGTCAGCGAATCAATAATTGTTTCTGGATTATATATATACAATGACGCTTAACAAATATCATATTTTTAGTTTTATTTTTTTGTAATATTTAAATGAAGCTCCGCTAGTTATACTGTTTCAACAACGGATGACTTCGCTCATGACTGAAGATTCGTTGGTCAGCAGGACCAATTGTCCAATAAATTGGCAAAGACAGAACTTCTAGAAGAACATAAATAAGACAGATGTGATGTAGAAACCTGACCAAAAAAAATGAAAACTAGTCATCATCAGTGGGAGAAATCCTTGTAAAGGTCCACAGTATTGAGCACAACATAGGAGATCCAGTTTTTGAATTGTTTCTGTACTGTTCAGGGGCTTAGTGCTCACATCACCAAAAACACCTCCAACAGGCTACTTTCATCAATAACCGTCTTCCATCGATGCTGATGGCCAAGCAGAAATGATCAACAACAAGAAATTCTGACAATGCAGTGAGGTTACCAAGCAGAAGCAGGTTGAAGGTAAGGCAGTAACTCATCGAAGAAGACACTGGCTAGCCATCACGCTGTATTGCGAATTGGGCTAGCCATTACATCGGGTTCCAGCGGCTTAATGGTCTCCCAGCTAACTCGCCTTGTAACCAGAAGGTCGTGGGTTCGAACCTTGGCATTCGAGCGGCCGCATACTGATGAAGAGTCCTAAACTAGGCTGGCGAAACAGCTGGCTGTCCAGTACTGCCAGTTTTTCCAATGCTTTTCTGACTGATGTCAGCTCATGATGACATCCTCCAACCAACTTATCGACAGCCTATCACTCAATAACTATGCACAAGCAAATGAAGATATCGACGGCTGAGTGACATCACTCACGATGCAGGCCTTCAAGTGGATGTCGAATGGGAAGAACGGGTTAGACATCTAAGGACGGGATGGAACAGAAAATAAAACAGAAGCCTATGAACAGTGGTGTAACCAGCTGAAAGTGACAGCAAGAGAACGAGTACAATTCGAATGTTCCTCTGAAGCCCCACGCTCCACTTGGAGCAAATAGTAATAATCATAATCATAATAATAGTTAGTTATGAAATACAAATTTTGTTTCAATCAATACCTTTTTAGATTCCTTAACTATTTCATCCAAGATGTGTTTCGTTTCTTCATCTAACTGTTTCTGCTTCATTATAGATTGAGCTTTCAACTCTTTCAATTGTTCAGATTGTTGAGCACGTGTCGCGCGAATCTCTTTTTCTAATCTTTCAATTTCGGCCTCTTGTTTTTGACGTATTAACTAAATAATATTTTAAAAAAAAGCAGTAGAAGAGAGTAAATGAAAGTTGGAATTTACGGGTAATTAAATTCCTTAACCAAGTGCTTAACGAACTTGACCTCGTAACTTGAAGGTTCCGGGTTAGATTCCTGCCTGTGGGGAGGCGGACGCTTACTGTTGAAATGTCCAAAACTAGAACGAAATAGCTGTCCAGTTTTTTTCCTCCTTTACGTTTCCAGTGGAACACAGGGTTTCATGCTAGAGGCCTGAAGTTTCGGTAGCAGTGGTGTTTATTTTTACGGGATGGGGTTGCTAGCCAGCCTCATGCCTAGCCAACCTTCCCTCTTTACCAGTCTTATTACTGGCTTAGCGAGGTAAAGGAGTGCGTCCAGTGGCGGGGATCGAACCCCGAACCACCTGTGGAGTGGTTGGCGAGCATCCTACCGCTGTGCCACTGACTCCCTGGTTTTCAACGGTTTTCTAACACACATTGGTCTCTGGTCACCTTTGCAATAAATTAATTCTCTCACAAACTAACTGTTGACAATTTATGTGATGATAAATATTGATTGGTTACAGGGTGAATTTCCCAGGAGTTCTGGTGAGAAGTTGTGATCAGTAGGTTCTACTAGGCAGGGTGGTGGGATGACAAGTACTCACCGGTGACATTGGCTGGTGGTCACGCTGAAATCACCGCGGAATGTTGGCCCAAGTGGCTGAATGGTCAACGAACTTGACTTCGTAACCTGAAGTTCCTGCGTTTTATCCTTGCCAGTGGGGTCGTAGGTGCTTTGCAAACAACTGTCCAGTACTCTCTGGTTTTCAGTGGTTCTCTGACTGACATCAATCGGTAGTCACACTTGTGACGTATCGGATGAATCAATTCATTCACAGTCAAAGTTTATCCTATAAGCCTATCGATTGTATTACTTCGTATCCCATCTTGCTCCATTTCGTGTCTTGACTTAAACGTAGTGAGAGAGGGAGAGAGACAGAAATTAAGACTACAGCTCAAGATGCTCACAAATACTATAAATGGAGAAATAACCCGAAGAAAGATAGAAAATGCAGCATGCCGATATGGCTAAAAACCATCGAACTATTGTTTATGTTCCATTATGGATAAAATTTTATTTTGATAAAGTGTCACACAGTGTAGTGTTATACGGTAATATTTACTGATGACCACGTTTCGAGCACCCCAGTTTATTACTACAGCTCATAATCATATCACCAATGATATTCCTAATTGTGGTGGACTGGATTATGCGTCAGACAGTGGGAAACGAGAAGACAGGGATATCCTGAACCGACGTGAAGAATCTAGAAGACCTGGATTTCGCGCGTGGACGATTTATGTTTGATGTCACACAAAATCGAAGACTTACAAGCGAAAACCGACAAACTGGTCGAAGAAGCAGAAAACTCAGGACTCCAGGTGAACATAGACAAGACGGAGGTTATGAAAATAACCAACCAACAACAACAAGAGCAGCAGCAACATCCAGCGCCAATCACCATCAACGGGAGGGATTTGAAAGAGGTTACTTCATTCACTCATCTAGGGAGCATTGTCTCAACTACAGGCAGGTGGAACGGACGAGGATGTCAAATCGAGAATCGGAAAGGCGAGAAACACATTCATCAACCTGAAACCAATCTGGAAATCTTCGTCACTCAGCCTGCATCAACAACAAAATTCGGATTTTCAATACAAACATCAAGTCAGTCAGTTTTTCTATACGGATCAGAAACTTGGCGGCGGGTCACAAAGAATATTTCCAACAGCCTGTTGCAGACCTTTATTAACAGCTGTCTTCGTTCTATACTGAAGATTAGATGGCCGGAAAGAATCACCAACAAGAAACTATGGGAACAAACGAAACAAGAACCAATCGCTCAACAAATATGCAGGAGAAAGTGGAGATGGATTGGACACTCGCTGAGGAGGCCACTGGGTGACATCGCGCGTCAGGCCAGTGCTCGAGTGGAACCCGAAAGGGAACCGGTGAGTGGGACGTCCAAGGGTGACATGGAGGAGATCGTGTGAAGAGGAATTGAAACAGTATGGACTAACATGGATGCAAGTGAAAAGTACAGCAGAAGGCAGAAGCAAGTGGAGACGTGCAGTTGAAGCCCTATGTTCCACTAGGAACCCAAGGGAACAATAATAATAATATTCATATCAGGTCACTCACACAACTTTCCAGCTTCGTTTATATGATTCCATTATTTCTCACCTCTCAATGAGATTGCTAGTAATATTTTCCATATTTGCACGTGTTGGGTGTAGATACGATGAACCAGGATTCAATAATCAACCTCTCTCTCCACCTACCTATATTACTTTTTAGAAATTTAACTCTTCCATCCTATTGTGTGGTTGTGTGTTAATGCATGCAGTGCAATCGCTGAATTTTTTCTAAATTACTTATCTTCGTGGGGTCAATCATTCTAACCTTAGCCACTAAATTCTTATGTTCTGATAATCTCACTACTCCTGATGCACTAGTTTGACCTATGTAGTTGGCTTAACCCACAGTCATTGGGTCAAGCTACAGGGTCCCTTAACCTACAAAGCTTGTTTCTGAGTGAGTTTTTAGGTTTGAATGCCACCATAATTCCTGCTTTATTGAGAATCCTATGTAGGGTCTCGTCTTAGACGTCCCCTTCTTATATGGTAAAACTATTGTAGATGCCTTATATTCTTTCTTATTTGTGTTATCATTATTGGTTTCACCATTATTTTTATTTTGCTTCTGACCTTTTTGATCTTCCTAATGAATTTCATAGGATAGTTATTTGACACCGACACTTCTTCTATCTGTTTCATTTCATCAATTAGCTTTTTTGTAAGAAGACCTCTTATTTCTCAAAAGGATCCTGGCTGAAAATGGACCGTCAACGTAGCTTGTAGAGAGAGTAACATGAAACCATAGTTAAAGAGAGAAGAAGAATTAGATAACAAAATCCCCTTTTTTGGATGTCTTAATCAGGAGAACTAACACAGGAGATTTAGAGACACAAGTATATAGAAAATCAACGCACACAGATCAAATACTTAACTATACTAGCGTTAATCCAGTTACTCACAAACGAAACTGTGTGCAGACATTGTTTAAAAGAGTTCAGACACATTGTAGCACTCCAGAATTGAAAAGAATGGAAGAAAAGTACCTACAAACGGTCTTCAAAAAGAATGGTTATCCACAAAATTTCACCAAAAAGTGTTTAAAGTCAAATCAAAACACCAACAAAGAACCATCATCAAAGACCACAAGAAAATTCATTCTACCATACATGAGGAATATCTCTGAAATAACAGCTAGAATACTGAAACCGTTTGATATAGATATAGCACACAAGCCAGTCAAATCGCTTAATTCGATATTATGCAAACCAAAAGATCCAACAGAAAAAGGGGATAAAATTAATACCATTTACAAAATAAATTGTATGAGCTGCAACAAGCATTACATCGGCCAAAGTGGGCGTCCCCTTCGAATCAGAATCCAAGAACACAAATCAGCCGTGAAAAGACACGATATGTATTCTTTAGTATCAATGCATATAGACAATTATGGTCATCAATTTGATTGGGATAATGTCGAAATCTTAGACAGAGGAAACACCAAAAGTGCCAGGGAATTCCTAGAAGCCTGGTACTCAAACGAAAATGCAATTAACAAGCACGTTAATATAGACGAAATATACCAACTAATAAAAAGTAAATCAGGTGACCAGAAAGTTTAAAATCCAAGTCAATAGAAAATGGTCAATACATATGTAAAGATGGTTACCAGGAGACGCAATTATATCACTCATGAAGAAATTTAAATCATTTCACTTTGTGCTAAATATTGCGCTGAAGATGTTGTCCAGAAGGGGGACGACGAAAGCTCCGCAACTAAACCAACCAGCTCAGAGAACACTATTTATTGCAGAGAAGAATGCTGTTCAATACCATAAAAAATACTGTATATGAGAATCGGCGACAGATATAGAAAAAAAGGAAAATCCCTAGTTCCCTTAAAGAAGAGCTTTCCCGCAGAGACATAGATATTCCCTAGCTGCCTACTTCTTCTAAGCAATGTGGAGAACAAACTTCCTAATATATAACCACTCCCATGTGTGTATATCAACTCGCCTGCTCCTATAGAGCTAAGTACATAGGTGGTTCTATGCGCCTCCTTTCAAAGCATAGCTGCAAAGAGGCGACAATGCTTCAATCAGAAGCGCTATAATTGAATACCTCACCAGCACTTGTCACAGCATCTCAACTGACTTGTCATTCAGAGTCATTTACAAACTGAACAACAATCTACCAAAGGTAGTGTGTTCCCGATTTCTTTCTACTGTAGAGGGCCTCGCCACATGCAGTATTGAGAAGCCAGGGCTATGTATTATTATTATAATATTATTTTTTCCTTTAATTCCTAGAGGAACATAGGGCTTCAGCCGTGAGTCTCCATTGCGTTCGGTTCTCTGCTAGAGTCTTCACTTGGCTCCAAGTCTGCCCACACGTTTTCATCTCCTCTTCACATGACCTCATCCAAGTCACCCTTGCACTGACGACCAACTCGCCGTTTCCCTTTCGGGTTCTACTTGAGCGATGGCTTGGCGTGTGATGTCACTTGATGGTTTCCTCAGAGTACGGTCTCGAATCCATCTCCATTTATTCCTGCATATTTGTTGCACAGTTGGTTCCTGATGGGTTGGTTCGCTCATTGCCAGAGATCCCTGTTTCTGATCTTTTCTGGCCGGCCATCTGATCTTGAGTATTGAGCGAAGACAACTGTTAATGAAGGTCTGTAATTTGTTTGAGATGCTCTTTATGACGCGCAGTGCAAGTCTCTTATCCGAATGGTAAGTAGCACTGACTTCTAATTGGAGTTTAAAATCCGGATCTTATTTTTGATGCTGAGTGCTGTTGACCTCCACACAGACTTGAGAGTAGTGAAAGCTTGTCTTGCTTTTCCGATTGATTCTTGCTTTGATATCCTCATCAGTTCCGTTCGCCTGTAGTTGAAACGATGCTTCCCAGATAGGTAGGTGAAGGAGGTTGTTTCTTTCAGGTTCCTCCCATTTATGCTGATCGTTGTCTGTTGTTGTTGTTCTTGTCCAGGAATCTTCATCACCTCTGTTTTCTCTATGTTCACCTGAAGTCCTATCATCTCTGGATGCTTCTTCTGCCAACTTGTTGCTTTTCATCACTTGCATACCTTCCAGTTTGTGGGAAATCAGACATATATCATAGGCGAAGTCCAGATCCACCAAGTTTTTTGTGTGAGTCCATTTTATGCCTGTTTCCTCATTGCCCGCTATGTATTCAAAAGAAATTAGTCTAACCTTCACATTTACCATTGGATCTAATTCTGTTCGGCGCCTTAGTTTTCGTTCGTTTACTTTTTCCTTCATTCCCTTCATTTCCCCATTTCATTTTGTTTCTATACACATTTCGTTCACACTGCTTTCCGTCAAAAACTATTTTACATATTCCGCAACTATTTTTGGGTCCTGTGTAATTTTGTTTCTACGCCCCCATGTGATCTGAATTATTACGTTTAAACTTTCATACCAAGTCGAGAATTATTACCATTTTTAATCCCCCTTTGCTATTATGTTCGGTTCAATAATAATTATTATAACTTTGTAAACTTATGTATAAAAATGCGATTGTACAGCTCTCGAGGATGACATCGTCAAGAAGAAATCTTCGCTTAGCTTCTTGTTCTGTACTTTCTTCTCTCTCCACGAACGATTTATCGATCAGATAATATCCAGAATGACAGAGAAGATGACGGATAGTTAGGGAAGTTTACAACTAAGTCATTTTCTTTTACGAGTTTGACCACGGATTGACATCAATTAGAGAATCATTGAAAACCACCACTCGAGTACTGGACAGCTGTTTCATCCTAGTTTGGGAGTCATCTGCAGTACGCACCCATCACCATGGTTCGAACCCAGAACCCTCCAGTTACAATGCGAGTTAGCTCGTATACCATTCAGCCACTGGGAACCAATTCAATCGAAGGCCCATGAATTCTAACTTCTACCAGTTCGTGATTTTAGCGCAACTGGAGGCACCAGCCAATGTGTCATCACTGGCGAGTATTTATCCTCACTGCCGACCGGATGGACTCCACTGGTCACGACTTTTCACTAGAACTAACTCCAGGAAACTTCGTCCTGTGCTTAGTCACTAGCGATCATCGGACTAACTTTCAAGAGTTGGTTTGTTGTAGGTGTGTCGGAAACTAGGACGAAACAACTCTCCAGTGGTTCCGTCCCTATATCGATCTGTAGTCAAACTTGTAAAAACAGATCAAATGCTTACAAACCGACTCTTCAAAATTAATCTGATGCTCTCTAGTGACTCGCTGCAGAACGAAGTTTCCTGGTGTTCTAGTAAGAAGTCGTCACAAGTGAGGTCCAACCAGTCAAGTGTGAGGACGGATTTCCCACCGATGACATTGGTTGGTGCCAGTGGCGCTAAATATCACGAATTGATAGAAGTTAGAATTCATGGGGTGGCCATTGAGGAGTTGGCTTCCATTGGCTGGATGGTATGCAAGTTTGCGTTGTAACTGGAAGGTCCTAGGCTTGAAACCTGGCACTGGGTGAGTACTGCCGATGATTCCCGAACTAGGCTGACAACTAGCCCAGAAAAGAGGGAGAGTTGATTGCAAGGCTAGCAACGCCACCTTCAAGGTTTCAGGCTTGAAGCCCAATGTTCTACTCGAAATGACAGGAATGAGAAAACAGACGCTTTAATTGTCTTTGGTACACTAAGCTTACTTTGAATGAAGACTTGATTTTTCGCCTTTCATAGACGGTAAATTCATGTAATTAATGCGTGGAAGTATCAGTTTAATGTTGTAACGGAGACAGTGTAGGTACCAACCGTCAGGTGTTAGTGAATTAGAGTATTTTAGACTCATACTTTATTCATGCTTATGATTTCTTGGTGATATATCTGATCACATTGATCGTCTTCATTGTGATATATGACTTCATTTAACGGATGTATTTCGGTGGCACAGAGGTTAGGACACTCACCGACCATGCAAATGGTCTGGGGTTCGATCCCCGACCGACGCACACCGGATGTCAATGGTCGGCTTGCTAAATTTGGGCTACCAATATCACATACTGAAAATTCCATACTTGTGCCAAAAATACAGTGTGGAATCAAGCTATAATAAAATAAAATATATATCACCTGGATTAAGGAGTCGAAGTTACTCTTCACTTTAATAAAATAATTTCAAATGAATACCCGTTGCATAACAGTCAACTCTCGTAACCTAATCACCAAGTGGATTAAGCTCTGTCGTTTGAAGCAATAGATACTGGACTGAAGACTTAGTGGGGGTGCAACTACTGACTGAGGTGAGGTTGATGAGTCTAAAATAGGAAGAAACGCTCGTCCTAACAACCACCAAACATTTAACTTAACGTACATGAGGTACTGAGGAGGATATCGAAGAGAGGATCGGGAAAGCAATGCAAGCTTGCATTTGTCTCAAGTCTATGTAGAGGTCAACAGAACTATCCAGCTTAAAAAATAAGATCCGGATTTTCAACTCCAATGTGAAGTCAGTGTTACTTACTATACGGATCAGAGACTTGGCGTGTCATCAATAACTACAGACCCTCATCAACAGCTGTCTTCGTTCAATACTCCAGATCAGATGGCCAGAAAAGTTCAACAGCAGGGATCTCTGGGAGTGAATCAACCCAGCAGGAACCGATTGTGCAACAAATATGCAGGAAGAAATAGAGGTGGATTGCAGGCCACACTCTGAGAAAACAAACCATCAAGTGACATCACATGCCAGGCAATCGCTCGATTGGAACTCGAATGGGAAGTGGTGAGTTAGTTGGTCGTTAGTGCGAGGGTGACATGGAGGAGGAGGTCATGCGAACAGGAGATGAAAGAATGTTGGCAGACGTGGAGCCAGATAAAACATTGGCAGCTGAAGCCTTATATTCCTCTAGGAATTAAAAGAATCAATAATAATAATAAATACATTGTTCAAGTAGACTGGTTAAGCTGTATGTATGCGGTCTAGTATCCTCAACACTTGGTGATACTTTATACTATTCTTTGAACATTTCAAGGGTTGATTGAAATAACAGTCTATTCGTGAAATTCAAGACTGACCAAAAACTGACCTGAGTTCAAGAACCATTGAAAGCCAGGGAGTACTGCACAGCTGTTTTGTCGTCATTTAGGACTCTTCATCAGTAATCACCCATGATCCAATCACAGATAGCTTCGTAGTCTAAAGGTCCTGGGTTCAATCCCTGGTGGGGTTATGGGTACTCACCGTTGAGGAGTCCCAAATAGGGACGAAACAACTGTCATTTTCTAAGGTCAATTTTTGATCACCTCTGAAGTCATTCAAATCTCTGGAAAAAGAGACACTTAAAAATATCCATGGATCGTTTGATTTATGTTCATATAACCCAGTTCCTTTGAGAGTTTACTAAATAAGTATATATGGGCTGGTGGATAGTATTACACGAATATTCACCCTTATATGTCCCTCTTACCTGGATATCAGCAGTTGATGCTAATTCTTCCTTGAAACTTTTCAACAGCTTTTTCTCTTGTATTAATGTATTTTGTAATTCTGAAAGGTATTCAAAAGTATAAAACAGGAAATTTGTTCAAATTACCAGATTTCTTTTTAGCATAAGCTGATAACATCTCCTCTCTGTCTTTTTTCAATTCGCCTAATGTATACAAATGAAAATCTTCTAATGTTGTTGTATTTTTCATTTGTTTCTCCCTCTTTTTATCAATATATAAAGTGTATTCATTCTAATTTTTTTTGTTTAAATGCATTTGAGTAAAGCTTACATTTTGAATTTCTTGTTCATCTATTAAATGTTCAATGTACAATAATTCCTTCTGCCTATTAAAACAAATTTATATTAATAAAGAAGAAGATAGTTAGTTAGTTACATGTCTGATAACTCTTTAGAAAGTAGATTCACTTCATTGACAGAATTTGAATACGCCTCTTTCAGCAATTCTTCTTTATCCTGGAATATATCATCTTCAGATGGAGAATTCAAATCATCAGTCGCCATTTGTTATCAGTGTTCAATTGTCAGCAGTTCAATAGATTTTGTATAACTTTTTAACTGAAATAATTGTCATCAAAGTGAAGTCAATCAGGTTATTCTAAAGATGAGTAAAAAGTTTTAAAAAATCCTTTGAAAAACAAAAGAATTCTAGAATAAGACGGAGTTTACAGTAAAACAAAATGTAGTCCTAAGGGAACTAATTTCTGATCCCGAACATAGTTATAGAACAAAGCTGCCCATTGAGAAAATTATTTTAGGAATTCAGTAATGCCTTACACCTAATGTCTTCAAATTCCAGAGGAAAATATATAAACAAACAGGTGGAGTACCGATGGGATCACCAATATCCCCGATCGTGGCAGACATATTTATGGACAGCTGGGAAAATATGGCCCTTAATACGTTTAACCCTACTCCAAAAATATGGTGAAGACATGTGAATGACACTTTCACAGTGTTAGAAAGAGAACATATCTCTAACTTCTTCACACATATAAACTGACTAATAAAAAGAATAAAATTCCCATTTGAATCGGAAAATTAACAAGGAGAATGAGCTATGATGTCAGATTGCCAAATAAAACGAATCGAAGAAGGTAAACTGCACACCAGCGTTTATAAAAGTGTCAACGCATTCTGCTAATAGATATTTAAACTTTAATTCATCTCATCTGTTAACTGTTAAGGCAGGCTTAGTTAAGTGTTTAATAAACCGAGCAGTAGCTCTAAGTAGCACAAGAAAAGACCTAAATGATGAAATAAAACAGATAGAAGAGGCGTTGGTGTTAAATAACTATCCCATAAAATTCATTAAGAAGATCGAGAAAAGCCAAAAGCAAAATAAAAACAATTATGAAACTAGTAATAATAACACAAATAAGAGAGAATACAAGTCATCTACTGTTATACCATATAAGGAGGGGACATCTGAGACCCTCCTTACGTAGGATTCTTAATACAGCAGGAATTAGGGTGGCATTCAAACCTACAGAGTCACTCAGAGACAACGTGTGTTCGCTAAAAGACCCGGTGGACCCAATTAAACAAAATAATATAATTTACAAAATACCTTGCAATGACTGTGAGTTAGGTAAACTACATAGGTCAGACTAGTAGATCAGGAGTAGTGAGATTATCAGAACGGAAGAATTTAGTGGCTACGGTTAGAATGATTGATCCGACGAAGATAAGTAATTTAGAAAAAAAGCTCAGCAGCAATTGCACTGCATTTATTAACACACAGCCACACCATAGGGCGGGGGAGAGTTTAAATTCTAAAAAGTAATCTATGTAGGTGGAGAGAGAGGGTGATTACTGAATCCTTTTTCATCGAGTCTACACCCAACACATGCAACAGAAATGACTCAATGCAAATACCAGAGATATGCATGGAAGATATTATTACCACCAGTCAGGCAAATCAGAGGAGGATAATAAATAATCTTAAATTGTATTCTATTTCAATTCAAGCACATCACAACATTCTAACGAGTTACTTATTTTTACTGTAAAAACATCTTGTTTCCCATCTGATTTGATCAATAACACTCATATTATTATTATTTCTGAATGTACATTATTCTATAGTGGTTTTATTCAAATATCTAATCATCAATTTTACTCATGTATATAAACGAAGCAAGAAAGCTGTGTGAGTGAGTGCCTTGATACGATTATGAGCAGCAATAGCTTGTGCTCGAAACGTGGTCATCAGTTAATATTACTGTATAACACTGTGTGATTTATCAAAATAAAATCTTATCCATAATGGAGTTGTACTCTACCACCACAGTGCCCAAGTTTTATACTTATATCAGTGATGATGCAGTATTATTAACAACTGGATAACAGACAAGGTTTTGAGCATAAATTATTGCTCACTCATAATCGCGTATTAATTTTAGTCACACAGTTTCACAATTTGTCTTATACGTAATTTTCTCTCTTTCCCTCTCTCTCTCCAACTTCCCTTTGTTGTTTGTTACCACTTTCCAAATTGCCCGTAAAGGCGATGCATTGCGTCATTCCGACTGCACGTGCGCGGTGTTGAATCGATAAACAAAGCTTCAGTGATTAACCTCTCTCTCTGTCTCTCACTCCACCTAACTATATCACTTTTTAATACTCTCATCCTGTCCCACCCATCCTATTTTGTGACTACATACAAGTGAATGCAATGCATTGCAGTACAATGGCTGAGCTCTGTTTTTTTCTAGGTTATTTAACTTAACAGGGTCAATTATTCCACATCCGGTTAAATGTTTGTGTTCATATAATCTGGTTGACCCCGATCTGTTAGTTTGACTGGCCTCTATAATTGACCTCACTCACAGTCATTACATGGTATTTAGTAAATTACATTACTTCTCTTAATTGGATCTATCAGGAGGGTGCTTAAGCCGACAAAGTTTATCTGTGAGATATTTGGCTGGTTTCAATGCCACCCCGTTTCCTGGAGGCACTTATGAATGAACTGACCACTGATACCCATCTCAAAAGTAGGACTAAGCCCTCTATTGGTGAAATAATATTAGATGTTCAGTTATGTCTAACCTCCAATGTATTCAAATTTCAAAATAAAATGTATAAGCAGATGAATAAGGTGGCAATGGGATCACTAACATCACCAATAGTAGCTTACATATATATACGAATAGTTGGGAACATAAGGCTCTTAGAACGTCTAATCCTGCTGCTCCAAGGTTATTTTTAGAGATATCAGGATGACACATTCCATCAATGTGTTGAAATCTGAACATATCCCTCATTTTTTCACATATATAAACTCAACAGTAGACGGAATCAAATTCACTTCTTAGTTAGAGGACGGACAGGGTGAGTTGGCCATGCTAGACTAGACTGCAGAATAAAACGAAAACAAGATGGTGGGTAAGATACTAGCATTTATAGGAAACTGACAGACACACTCTAATAAATACTTATACTTTAATTCATTCTATCCAGAATCGGTGGTAAAGATACGTTTAGTTAAGTATGACTACTAGCGGTCATCATATAATAACTAAATGATAATTATATATTTTCCCACTGTATTTATTTACATAGTCAACTTTTCGTCCCTTGAATCTGTCGACTAATAAGGCTATGAATGCGTTATTCGAAGCATATATATCCCAGTTGGAGAATTTTGTTTTCCACACCTGGGATATGTGTGTAAAAACGTGGGCAGTTTCCCGCTCGAAAATGGGCCAAAGTGAGGGAAAGTGAGCAACTTTGATCTGAAGACGTGGGCAGTGTGGGAAAATATAGGAAGCAGGGGGAAAGTGGAAAGAGATGTGGGATAACGTTTTTGTAGAGCAAGAAAACTTACGACCTACAATTTCATCAATTAAAGCTAATTGCAGCTAGATTTTAATATGAACTAAATGTATCCATTGGTAACTTCTATGAGGATGACACTCATTATGACACGCTTCTTTTTGTCAAAGTGAACTTCAAAAACCACGATTTCAAATACATCCTGGTGCACTTCTAGCGTCGTAATTCAGTGAAGTGTTGATTGTGCAATGTCTATTTTAAGTTTATTATAATTGATACTGAAGGTGAAGTATTACAGAGTGTTAGTGATGGGAATCAACCTAGACGCCTTATACGTACTTTACTCTTTTTTAATATACCTTTGTGCCTCAGTTTGATTTGAAAAAGAGGCGTGTCATCGATCCAAAGTTTACAGGAGAAATAAAAGATGAAAGTTTCAATTGATTGAAGATCTTGTCGAGAAAAATAATTCCCGATTACATAGTCAAAGCTCGTGAATATGTGGTAGATGGAACTCCTAGTAGCTCGGAGAACACGCATGCTGACATACAAATAACTTTACCTAGTAGGTTGCTTGAGTGTCGGTGGCATAGCGGTTAGGACGGTCGTCCACCATGCACATGGTCCGGCGTTCAATTCCCGGCCACTGGACGCACTCCTTTACCTCACTAAGCCAGAAATAATGCTGGTAAAGAGGAAAGGTTGGGCATGAGGCTAGCAACCCCATCCTGTAAAAATTAAACACTGCTACAGAAACTTCAAGTCACTAGCTTGAAGCCCTATGTTCCACTGGGAACGTGAAGGAAAAAAAAATAGGTTGCTTGACTTCATTATTTGGCGACTTATAAGGTGATCCAGTTGACGCTGTGGCATCGATGGATAAATCTTCCAATAATACATTTGAAAGCAATTCGAAGCCGAACCTTAGGGCTACAACCTTGAAGGTTATGATGACCACTAACATTTCAACTGTTGATGGTGAGAAGGTGATACTGAACTATTTCTCCAGATGACTTAAAAGAGGTACTCGCAAAGAACAAGGCACTACAACTAACCTACAACACATCCAGTTGTAGTCAGTCCTCAAAATCAACTATTATGTGCATACAGAAAAGATGATGAACGTAAGAATAGTTTAATACTTCGCTTATCACCTAGTGCGCCGAAAAACGACACTTTTGTTGATCAGAACTACCCATCGGATCTGGTGGATAAGCAATGCAATGTTTTCGACAACCCAGAATTTGCCGATCTGGGTGAC